AAAAAAGCTCAAAATGACTATAGAATCATGCCCTTTAATTAGAAAGCTATAGAGAAGAAAGAAATTTGTTCAAGGTGAAACAACAATTCTTGATATAGAATCTGGACTCAAATTTGGATTTCATGGCATAATTCCGAGAGCCTTTTTAAGTACAAAATATGTTAAGGAGACTATATGCAATACTAATTATTCCTATACAGCCAAAATAGAGTCCTACTCCTGAATGTCTTTGTGGATGTCAAATCTAGAAAACCTACTTTCTCCCTCCATATGTATCTATCAGGATGTAGCACTCTCGGCTGTCCATTACATCCTGAAATTACACTACTAAGTTTGCAGGATGAGCCAACTCTGACATAGATATGTGTATTATCTCCACAGAAAGCAGAGGTGATTTATCTCACGTTTTCTTTTTCTTTTTCTACATAAATGCTCATATCACTAAAGTAGTAAATTAGGAGGTATGTAATCATATCAAGATCATCTACCCTCTTACTAGGCACTTTAGGTGACATATAAAAGTAAGTCTTTGGGCATATATCTGGGAAGATAGATTCAAACAGGAAAAAAAAAATTAAAGCATCATTACATTTTTGCCAAAAAGAAAAGGGCATGTATGTTAGGACTCAGAGTGAAATAATTTTCAGATGCTTGAACAAGTTAAAAAAAAAAACATTTTTCACAGTCTAAGTATTATTATTTCACAGAAAAGGCATCATTTCATATGTATCAACCACATGCCTGTTGTTCCAGAGCAGACATACCATTAACCCTTGGAAGGAACCCTTGGAAGGAACCCTTGATTTGCCAGAAGGATGTCAACCTCCAACATCAGTAATAAGAATCTCCCAGACACTCTCTTCCTGACAGGAATCCCAGGGCTGGAGTTTGCCCATATCTGGATTGCAATTCCATTCTGTGCCATGTACCTGGTAGCACTGCTTGGCAATGCTGCCATCATCCTGGTCATTGTGATGGACAGTGCCCTGCATGCTCCCATGTACCTCTTCCTTTGTCTTCTCTCACTCACTGACCTGGCTCTCAGCTCCACCACAGTGCCCAAGACACTTGCCATTTTGTGGCTCCATGCAGGTGAGATTTCCTTTGCTGGATGCCTGACCCAGATGTTTTGTGTCCATGCTATCTATGCTCTGGAGTCCTCAGTTCTCCTGGCCATGGCCTTTGATCGATATGTCGCTATTTGCAACCCACTGAGATACACAGTTATCCTCAACAATACAGTAATAGGCAGTATTGCACTTGTTAGCATACTCCGTAGTATAGCTTTTGTCTCCCCAACTATCTACCTGCTGATGCGACTGCCCTATTGTGGCCACTATGTCGTGGCTCACACATACTGTGAGCATATGGGCATCGCTC